AAATCAATACCAATCTTTTCAAATGGTCTACCTGGAAGAAGTCTATTTTTTGGTAAGTCTCCCATTATCTGATGAATAGCCTTAGATTTACTCTTCAGGCATACGAGACATTGATTTAAGACCCTTTTGATCAAGTTTCTTCCAGAAGGAATCCAAAATTTATTTCGAATCAAAGATAAAGTTAATTGAGTTCCAGAATGAAGATTGTTTATGTGATAGTGCATTACAATTAATTTGGTTACAAAATGATCTTTAGGAATTAGCATAGGATGCTTCTGATCAATATCTAAATCCGAGTGACGTAATCGTCCGCCTACTCTAAGAATTCCTTGGGAATCTATAAAAATGTTAAGCGAAATAAGCCTGCTTTTTCTTGGTAATGGAATATTTTTTATGCAAGCATTGATTTCTGGGGTGAATTCACATCTCTGAATAATCTTGACGATTTGTAATTGAGAGTCTTTTAAGTCTTGGGATGTTAGAAATGAGAGTCTTTGAGTTGGCTGTTTTCGGGTAATATTAATAAATCTTTTACACCAAGCCATGACCCTTAAAAGTTTGGTAAAGGAAGAATATTTTGACAAAAACTCTGGGCATGGTTCTGCTATTGTAGCATGCAGTATAACACTACGCTCTTCTAAACCCATAGAAGGGTCTATAGTGAATGAAGGAATATTTTCAGAACCATCTAATGTCAACCAAACGGGTCCATGCCACCATAATTTTGAATTGATCAAACAGGAAGGCAAAATTCCTCTCGTTGCAAGGTCTGCTGGATTTTGCTTGCCTGATATATATTGCCATGAATGGGCTGCAGTCAGATCTTGAATCTTTGCCACCCGATTGGCCACAAATATCTGCCACTTCTTTGATTCAGAAGTAATCCACGCCAGAACAATCTTTGAATCTGTCCAATAGAATTGTTCATCGATCTTAAAGGGAAGTGCTTGAGTTGTCTGCGATTGAAGTTGCGCCAACATCAAGGCTGCGCAAAGCTCAAGTCTTGGTATGGTTATTTTCTTGATGGGAGCGCAACTTTTGTTTTTGCTGTCAAAAGAATGGTCTCAATTTGATTATTCTCATAAGTTATTCTTAGATAACAGACAGCAGAATAAGCCAACTCTGATGAATCACAGAATCCATGCATCTGCATATTGGAAATTAATAAATTCCGTTGGAATATACATCTTGGAATACTGACTTGTTGGAGATGCTTCATTTCTCTTTCAAAAGTATTCCACTTTCTTTGAATAGAAGCAGGTATATCTTCATCCCAGCCTATTTTAAATTTCCATAATTCTTGGAGGAGGAGTTTTAGCACAACTGTGGTAGGGTAAAGCCAGCCACAGGGGTCATAAATTCTGGCTATAGCCGATACAATTTGTCTCTTTGATTTAATATCAGCTGGACCAGATTTACAAGAAATATTGAGGGTATCATAACTTGGATCCCATTGGATTCCAAGAACGTTCACGCCTGATTCCTTTCTATTAAATTCCATCACCTCACCTCTTCCTCTCAATAATAAAGGTAAGTCTTCAATTATAGAAGTTTCATTGGATACCCATTTTCTCAGAACAAATCCACCAGAACCCAATACAGCAATCAATTGTTGCATGAGTCCCTTGGCGTCTTCCACTGTGGGGCATCCAGTCAGAAGGTCATCCACGTAGAAATCCTCACGAATAATCTTGGATATTCTTGGATTAGAAACCTGTACCTCATGGGCAATCTGATGTAGAGTTCGAATTGCCAAGTAAGGGGCACATGCAAGGCCATAAGTGACTGTCAACAAGTTATACTCCTGCAATTCTAGATCTTTACGATCTCTCCATAGTATGGTTTGATATTTAATATCGTCTGGATGTAATCTAATCTGCCGATACATCTTTTCAATGTCGGCCACTAAAGCAACAGAGTTCGTGCGGAACTTGAGTAGGATGTTGAATATATTATTTTGAAGTTTTGGACCTACATGAAGGAGATCATTCAATGATATTTGGGTGGTAGTCTTGGTGGATGCATCAAATACCACTCGTAACTTAGTTGGCTGTGCCTTTAGAATACAGTGATGAGGAATGTAATATTTTGGTTCAGTCTCAGAGAACAACTTGCCTGCATATGACCTAATCTAATTGCGATGGATTTCGATTGACCTAACTTTTCAGCTGATTCCTTAAATGGAAGCCTTACAATATACCTTCCTGATTCATCCCTGACTACATTTTTTAAATAATGACTTTCACAATCCTTTTCTTCTTTTGTAGGAATTTCTTCCAAAGGAATAGATTCCAATTCCCAGAACCTTTTTATTAAATCTTCAGATTCCAATTCAGAAGAGAAATGTGCCATATTTCTGAATGACTGCCGTTCACTCACTGAGGTCGGACCATATACGAGCCATCCCAATTTTGAATGGATAGCAGATGGCTCATTTTCATTTCTCCTTCCTTCCTGAATGAGGTTGAATACTATATCTGACCCCAAGATTACATCTATTTCTCTTGATATAAAATATGAAGGATCAGCCAGGATCAATCCCTTCATATGTGAATAATTTATTTTCTTGACCATAAAACTAGGAATATTGTTTGTTAACTTGGTAAGAACCAGTGCTGTAGTCTCAAACGATTGATGATCAAATTGAGAAGAAAACCTGATCAAGATCTCACCTAGGGAAGATTCTACAAGTTGATCTCCCAAACCTCCAACTGCTATACGTTTACGTCTGATGGGTATTCCTAGTTTTGCCGCGCACTTTTCAGTGATAAGGCTTCTTTGACTTCCATTATCCAACAGAGCTCTACAAATTTGATCTTCCCCATTTACATCTTGTATATGAATTATAGCTGTAGATAACAGTATTTGTATAGAACCATCTGCTCCACTCAAACAGCAGGATGTGCTTGTTGAAGGTACATTCGATGGTTGTACTGATTTGGGAGAGGTAAACTGGACACTAGATGATTCCCTTTGTCTTGGAGGACTTGAAATCACATGCAACAAGGTATGATGGTTTTTATTGCAATGGAAACAACGATTTGTGATTTTACAATTCTCAACAGAATGATTGCCACGCAAACAATTAGAACAAAGTTGGTTCTGTTTTACATAACCTATTCTATTTTGAATTGACATTTGTCTGAATTCATTACATTGATTCAATTTATGCCTCAATTTACAGAGTAGACAATTTTTGAAACCTACATTGATGTTGTATGTATTTACTCTTTTATTCAAATATTCCTTTGAGGTGGTGTCCTTCATTGTATTCATTAAAGATTGAGCTTGTTTTTCCAGAAAGGAAATAAACCTTTGATATGAGGGCAGTTCTTGATTATCATAAGACAATTCCCATTGTTGTCTGATTGGAATATCTAACTTCTTTTGTAAAAAATGTATTAACATAACGTCTACCATTTCATTTCTTTCCAAACCTATAGTCTCCAAATTTCTAAGAGATTCGTTGCGAATATCCAACAACTCATACATAGCCTTCGAGGTAGAGATCTTATATAATTTGATTTTAAATATTTTATCTAATTGAGAGAATATTATCTCTCTTTTATTATCATATCTTTCTACCAAAGTTTTCCCAAGCTTGATTATAATTATTTTCAGTGATCGGGAAACCCTTTATTATACGAGCTGCGTCACCTTTTAATAAAGAATGCAAATATTGCAATTTTTGTATATCTGAAAGAGTCGTATTTTTATCTATAGTAACCAAAAATAGGTCCTTAAAACTCAACCACTGAGACATCTCACCGGAAAATATAGGCAAATTAAATTTGGGTAATTTAACATTAGATATTGCACTTTGCTCCAATTTGACTGGTTGAGAAACGTCCTCTACCTCCAAAATTTCCCCAATTTGAAATACAAAATTTTCATAACGATTCTTTACATCTATGTATTTTTTAAATAGGGTTTCACTGGCTTCCAAAGCATTTGATCTCACTATTTGATAATATGTTTCCTTGATGGTTTTGAATAATTCCGCAATATTTTCATGATATAGTTTTACTCTACGTATATTTCTCTGTTGACAAATTTCGTCAAACTGATTTGCATATGTATTGAATTCCTCAACATAAATTTTGAAAATAAGTATATCTGAATTCGCCTTTTTAGACATGATTTAGATTATTTTATGTATAAAATATTTATATTTCGCTTGATTCTATTCACCACGAGATAATTTAATTATTACTTACCAAATTATCAGTGAATCCGGCTCGAGGGACCAGAAAGATGTTCGAATTGTAGATTTAGATTTGAGTATTTATTTAGATTTGAGTTAATGAATGAATGATTAAAACTTTGCAAAGAATAGAGTAGGTTTTAGTTAATGAATGAATGAATAAAACTTTGCAAAGTATAGAGTAGGTTTTATTACCACAAATTCGATTACAATAATAATAATGGTAGCAGATTAAAAAATGTCAACAAAACACCAACAGTGCCAAGTAACAAATAAACTTCACAGATTAAAAGAAAATAAATAAATTAGTGAAAACAAAATGAATTTAAAAATGCAAATAAATGAATTAATGAATATTTACATTTGAATCCAACAGTTCTCTTTATTCATAGTTAATTAACGAAATGTCCCAATATCTATATGATTGTAAAACGACATTTAACAATTATTATAAAGTAAATAAAGCTTCCAGGGTTAAGTTTCTTGTTCAAATTTTTATTTTCAAGCTTTCGAACTTGTCAGTCCTTCAACAGGAGTATCACGATAATAAATTGATGATATATAAACTATTTTTATATACAAATTAATTTTTACATATTTGAAATATTTATGATATTGAAAGGGGGAGAAAATATATATTACATTCTTTGTGTGTTATAAACAATTATCCCGCATGTGTTTCTTTTGAACGAAAAATCGAAATTTATTTTAAGGAGAAATAATGATTATTTTTAACCTTAGATATGAAGTATGAACGGATGAATTGTGAAGAGTAATGATAAACGGAAAAGTAAAGTGTCCTGGGATGGGAATCGAACCCACAGTGTTCCGCTTACCGGGCAGATGTCATGTCCACTAGGCCTAGGCTTCTCTGGACATATTTTTCCGTTCGTAAATTTTATATAAAGTAATTTATAATACAATATAATGTGGCTTATGATTGTAGAACTACATTTGAAAATTGTCCCGCATGTATTTCTTTTGAACTAAAAATCGATATTTATTTTAAGGAGAAATAACGATTATTTCTAACCATTGGGATTAAGTATGAAAGGATGAATTGTGAAGAGTAATGATAAACGGAAAAATTCAAATGTCGTTCTACAATCATAAGCCGCATTACATTGTATTATAAATTAATCTATATGATTGTATTCATTATTAACAAAGAAGGCATATCCTGACCACGAGCTCATGTTCTTTTTAGATGGCAGAGGGTTCGTTATACAATTGTTTAGTTGATTTCTGTTCCATCAGATGGCGCTCTGCCTTCTTTAAAGCACATATGCTTCTGATCAGGATATGCTTTTTTATTTTTAATATCAACACCTGACCTTTATATTATTTCTACTGTCCTTAAAGCTTATGTCCATATTACATTTAAAATACCATTTCCAAGAGATAAGCGTCAGTATCACTATAAAAAGAAAACCGAAAAATGTAATGCAACAGCGGTATGGTAGATTAAACTGGTGAAACCGCTGGGAGGGTTCATCACTGATGAGCCAGGCCTTTCCATTAATTTTTCATTGCAGTAAGAGCATTAGAAAATTATTTAATTTTTTAAAATAATCATAAGCGTCTATAATAGTTTCGAATTTTCATTACAGATGGCGTGCTAATCTATCATAAACTAAACGTTTATTTAACTTGTTCAGTGATATTTGGGCAACCCAGTTTCTTGATTTGTTTCACAAATAACACTATTTGTTAAACTTGAAATATCTTCATTAATAGTATAGATACATTAGTACAGGTATTTTTACCTTTTTTTTAAAACACTTCTTTAACCTTGTGAAAAAATAGTACAAATGTGATATTGTACTGAGATAAGGTGCATAAATTAAGAAATATTCAACTCCTTATCGTTCAAGGTATTTGGCCAATTCTGGAATAATTAAAAATCAACAAGAATAGTTTATATTTTACACAAATTAAATTTCTGGCAATGCGTTTCTTTTAAATATCATCAAATATTATCTCTACAGACCTTACTGCAATGATATGAGTTATTGAATGAGAGGGCTTGGCTCATCAGTAATGAACCCTCTCAGCGGTTTCGCCAAATTAATCTCTAGACCGCTCTACTATTGTATTGGACTGGTTTTGTTATATACCCTGCATTTTCTATGGAAGGCAGCTTAGGGGTGTTTAGTGAACTATGGACATAAGCTTATAGGTCTGTAGAGGTGCATACATATAATTTCAAGGAATTGCATCGAGCAAAGCTCTTCCGCAAAATATGTTTTCATAACCAATATATATTTAGTAAATTAAATTTTATTGCCATCTATCGTTAAAATTTTACACAAATTAAATTTCTGGCAATGCGTTTCTTTTAAATATCATCAAATATTATCTCTACAGACCTTACTGCAATGATATGAGTTATTGAATGAGAGGGCTTGGCTCATCAGTAATGAACCCTCTCAGCGGTTTCGCCAAATTAATCTATAATACTAAACTCATATCATTGCAGTAAGGTCTGTAGAGATAATATTTGATGATATTTAAAAGAAACGCATTGCCAGAAATTTAATTTGTGTAAAATTTTAACGATAGATGGCAATAAAATTTAATTTACTAATATATATTGGTTATGAAAACATATTTTGCGGAAGAGCTTTGCTCGATGCAATTCCTTGAAATTATATGTATGCACCTCTACAGACATATAAGCTTATGTCCATAGTTCACTAAACACCCCTAAGCTGCCTTCCATAGAAAATGCAGGGTATATAACAAAACCAGTCCAATACAATAGTAGAGCGGTCTAGAGATTAATTTGGCGAAACCGCTGAGAGGGTTCATTACTGATGAGCCAAGCCCTCTCATTCAATAACTCATATCATTGCAGTAAGGTCTGTAGAGATAATATTTGATGATATTTAAAAGAAACGCATTGCCAGAAATTTAATTTGTGTAAAATTTTAACGATAGATGGCAATAAAATTTAATTTACTAATATATATTGGTTATGAAAACATATTTTGCGGAAGAGCTTTGCTCGATGCAATTCCTTGAAATTATATGTATGCACCTCTACAGACCTATAAGCTTATGTCCATAGTTCACTAAACACCCCTAAGCTGCCTTCCATAGAAAATGCAGGGTATATAACAAAACCAGTCCAATACAATAGTAGAGCGGTCTAGAGATTAATTTGGCGAAACCGCTGAGAGGGTTCATTACTGATGAGCCAAGCCCTCTCATTCAATAACTCATATCATTGCAGTAAGGTCTGTAGAGATAATATTTGATGATATTTAAAAGAAACGCATTGCCAGAAATTTAATTTGTGTAAAATTTTAACGATAGATGGCAATAAAATTTAATTTACTAAGAATAGTTTATATTTATTCCGAAAGATGGCGCAAGCGATCAGCAACTTTCAGTTACACGATAAGGAGAATTTGGTGAATTTTAAAATTCACCAAAAGACTTTTTCTTAATGTCGCAACGATTCCAATTAAAAATAAAGTTTAATGAGTGAAGGAAGCTCTTTTAAGTTCCAAGAAAATCTTAGACAAAAGAACTCAATTCCCCTGAGGGGGATTTAGCAAATACGACCCAATGGCGAGTTAGTTGAATAAAACTACGTCTTAGTTGTTTCTTTGCCCATTTAAAGTCACAATAGGGACTTAAAACAATGCTTAGAAAGAAACATTTTGAAAATTCGGTTACACAATATATAGTTTCGTAACCTATATACGGTGTTTTTTCTCTCTCTCCTGAAACTGGGAAGGTTCACCACTGATAAGTCAGGCTCTCCCATTATATTGCCACGTGGAAAATTAGGAAAGACAAACTTCAGGATGAGACAGCAATTTATTTCAGGCAAGAACAAACTATGAATGATAAACAAAGATAAGGAATGAGGGAAGTTTACAGAGTAGTGATATATAAACATTAAAAATGATACTTTATTAATACTAGTGTAAAATAATAAATTATTCGCTACATAGCTCCTTTCCTATGAGAGCTGTGACCCACAGCTAGCAATTATTGTAGATACTGACATGGATCTGACGTGCTTCTACCAAGGATTCCATCGAAGTCTTAGAACTTTGTCCCTAGTACCTTTGCTTCCTTTTTCTTGCGGCGTGAAGAGCAGCTTTGCATCGTATCGTCTATAGGGACATCGTCATCTTGAAGGGAAATCTTGGGTGAATTCCTGGAGCCAGTCTCTAAAAATGTATATCACAGCACTCATGGCTTCAAATTCTTCTCGGCGATCTTCAGTTTGTTTTCCCTAACTTTCCACGTGGCAATATTATCATTCCAATAAGGGAAGTAGAAATTGTTTTATTTTCAGAAATTAAAACATACGCTTCAAAAAGAGTTCAAATTTCTTATAAAAAATGACGAGCTAATATATCATATTGATAAAGTAAGTGTTTTACAATACTTGTTCATATCCCAGCCATTATAATTTAATAAAAGCAACCACAATCCAGGACTAGGCTTCTTTAACTATTTTTACTTCTATAGCTTTTTCAGACAATATCTCTGAAACATATTACAGTGATCTTTATTGAAGATACATGAGATAACCATGTTTGAACATAATTGCTTCTGTCTCCTTAAAAAAAGTAAAAACAGATCGAATGCCAACTTAGTTGAATAAAACTAGGTTTTGGTGTTGTTTTTTGTCCATTCAAAATTACAATAGGGACTTAAAACAATGCTTAGAAAGAAACATTCTAAATTCCTGTTACACAATATATAGTTCTGAAAATAGAGCAAATCATACTCGAATCATTAGATAGTAAAAATATATATATTGGATTGAATAAAAAATTTATTTGCCAATATTTCGGTTGGCTGAACACCAACCATTATCGAGGCATTACATTTTTGTATAAACAACCTCAGGTGATATTATAACACTATGCGGCGCTGAGTTTGTGTATACAAAAATGTAATGCCTTGATAAAGGTTGGTGTTCAGACAACCGAAATATTGGCAAATAAATTTTTTATACAATCCAATATATGCCTTTTTACTATCTAATATATAGTTTGGTAATCTATATACGGTGTTTATCTCTCTCCCCCCCATACAATATAACATTATACATCATTATATATAAGGTTATATAAAGGTTCGTAAACATTCGTAATCGGGATTCAGACAATAACTCTGATTTAATACACAGTGACCGTTATTGAAGACACACGAGATAACCAAGTGTGAACAGCTTCTGTTTCCTTAAAAAACAGACTTTCAAATAAGAAAAAGGCCCTTATCGTGCAACTGAAAGTTGCTGATAGCTTGCGCCATCTAACTGAATAAATATAAACTATTCGTTGATTTTTAATTATTTCAGAATTGGCCAAATATACATTCTTGATCAATCAATAAATAGTTGAAATATATTCCGATAGATGGCGCAAGCCATCAGCAACTTTCAGTTGCACGATAAGGAGATGTCTTTTTCTTAATTTATAAACATTATCCCAGTACAATGTCATATTTGTTCTGTTTTTTCACAGACTTTTAATTGTTTAAATTTCATCTAAGAGTGCAGACGAATAAGCAATCAAAGTTCTGTTTCAAATAAAACAGTTGGAGACATTCAAGTACAAATTAATAAAGAGATAGAATGTTTAAAAGAAAATCCACCCGTTCCATCCAAGCAATAAGAAATATCTTGTTTATCTCCAACGTAGAAGTTTTATTGTCGACATTTTAACGACCTCCTTCTTATAAATATGGATCATTTTATTTCTAAGTAGAAAGTAGATATATTGACATAAAAACTAATGAATACACTGTTTTTAATGGAAATACATTTAAAACTGTTCGAAATAAGATTCAAATTCTATAATATTTAAATTCTTTTATATATATTTTGATATAAACATTAATTGTAAT